GGTGGAGGGAGCATTGCAGCGCGGCGGGAGAGGATCGTGCGGCGCCGCGCTCGTCAGCGCCGGCCGACGGGCACACCCATCCGGCCTGTCGCGTATGAATTTGAGGGAAAGGTTTCGGGGCTCGCCTGGTCGGTCATGATCATGAGGCTGCCGTAGCGCAGCGCCTTGGTGTCCTCGTACTGCTTGCCGTGCTGCAGCCCCAGGATCTGCAGTGGTTCAGGGTTCAGGGTCGAGGGTCAGGGGTCAAGGATTCACGGTCGCGCGCGGCGCAGGGCGTAAGAGCGAGGAGGTCAGGCCAACCCCGTTAGCTCTGCAGCTCAGGCAGGGGAAGCACGTCGTATCGCGCTGGGGCCAGGGTTCAAGGGCGCGCCGACAAGCGGCCGTGGCGGGCATCCGTTTATGAACAGGGATGGAATGGGAGCGCGCCTGCTTGATGTTCTGGATCTCCACGTTCTCGCTGATCTGGCTGGCCGTCGCGTCGCGCACGTTGAGCAGCTTCCCCCTGGGGACAGCGGGGACGGCGGCGCAGTGCGGCTCGGCAGGGCGGACGCGGCGGCGCAAACAGGCCGCGCCCCGCCAAACCACTCGCGCGCTTTCCCTTCTCCGATCCCCCGTGCCCTTCGGCCCGAGCTGCAATTCCAACGCCCTTTAGTAGGTATTATCGCAGGCCCCTTCCCCCCGCCGAGCGCCGCGCCCGCGCGCCTGAGCGGGAAGACTCCCCATCTGTCGTGCCCCACGACGCTCATGCCGCTCATGGCCAGAGTCTTGGCGCTGTCGCCCTCCGTCAGGATCAGCGTGCACGCGCCGCTGCCGCGCGTGCCGGCGTCGTTCGCGTCCGTCAGCTTGGCGATGCCTGCGCGGCAGGGGCGGCGGCGGCGCGGAGGCCTCCCCATGAGAGGCGCTGGCACAAAGGCTTGTGCAGTTTTGTGGCGTGAACTCCATGGTGAAGCCTGAAGCCTGTGCCCAGTGACCACTAGTGAAACGGGGCTGATAAGACCCTCACGAAGCCGCGTCGTGCCAGCAGGTCCATGGGGCTGCCATCGAGGCAAGGAGAAGGGTGGGGGGGATTTGCGGCGAGCAAGCGCTAGCTGGCGTGTGCTTGTGGGCTTGGCGGGTGCCGGCCCCCCACCTATGAGGCGGCTGCGCTTTGCGCCGTCGCTCTTCTTGAGTTCCTTCTGGCTCTTGAAGGCCGCGAAGCTCAGGATGTTGTCCATCAGGCCGGACCTGGGTTCAGGGTTTAGGGTTTAGGGTTCGCTGATTTAGGGTTCAGGATGGCAGGGGAGGGGGTCGGGCCATCGGGCGAGGGGCGGAGGCGAGCGCGTGAGACGCAGGCGGCGGCCGCCGCGTGCCGCTGTGTAAGAAAGGCTCAGCGGCGGCGCGGCCGCGGTGGACGGCTGTGGCGGCGGCGCGTGCGCAGAAGAGGCGAGCCAAAAGTGGACCCCGTTGGGGCACGACGAGCGAGCCGTTACGCCCGTGCGGGGGGAAGGC